GGATAAACGCTCACGAACACCCCGCGCCGCTCGACAAGAAACGTTTTTTTCACGTCGAGGCCAGAAATTTTTCTCACGTAGTTGCGCTATGGACTTCCTTTTTCGACCATTGTGCCGTCACCACTCGGAGCGCTACGGACTTCTCCACTAGGAGGTGTTGGCCTGGACAACAAGGAGATTAAAAAGGGAGGAGGGGTATGACGTCAGCCATGTAGCCTCCACAAGCCATGCTCCCTCGTCGCCTCGCCTCTTTCTCATTTTCCTCCTTACCCTCCTTACTCATCGGGACAACGTGACCACAGCATGTGACCGTCGCGTGGTTGATGGTTGCGGGTAGCAAGGAGCGTAGCGTTGGTGGGTTTTATTTTTCAGTCATCACAGCTAGAACGGTGGCCGCGCCCATCCGACCCATTCTACGGCTGCTGCATACCCTCAAATATAAAGTAAATACATTGTTTTCTACAGACCATTACTATCCTGAAAACGACAGTATTCAACGTGGAACGTCAGCGCTGTAACGAATGTCTTTGGCGTGTTTTGGGTAATGTACCGTACATCTGCGGGAAGTATTCTTTTTGATCTCCTGGCCACTAATTACTACAGTAGCCAAAGCAAGAATAAATTATATACACACATGATTGCGTAACTATGTCGACCCGACAGGTTAGACCAACACTTACGCATTTCTACAGTGACGATTTCCGCGCTCGCCTGTAAATGATATAGCTGCGCTCTCATCGCCTCTCATGTTGTATCACACTACAATACGTTTGACTTTTTCTCTTCGTTGCGGCCGCTATGCAGGTCGCCCACTGGTACGTTTTACTTCTGTCGTGACAAATTGAACCAGCTCAACTTGACTCGAGGCTGGGAGATGTTTTATTGACTCTTGGAAGTGCACGGAGCACACCGCGCTCCACTTCGATGGGGTCCAACCACCGCCGCGAACAACGGTCGAAATCCATCGTTTCCGCAGTTCGGCGACCGTCGGAAATCTAAGAAAATTGTTGATCGATTCCTATTATCGTAAAACTATCTGCGTGTAATACGCCAAGGGCTTACCGGTGAAACGTAACTCCCGCTGAAGAAAAGCCAGTCCGATTGCGGCAGCCGACCACGCTGCAAGCGCCCATTCCGTAGCTGGAGGAAATTAGCGTCCCGGCAACGCCAGGCTTTCGTTTTCTCCGTTGCAACTGCGGCGATTGCCCTGATCGTACCGTGTGCCAGCAGCGGTGTGTCGTCTGCTCGTGGTCCGCCTCAACCGCTTGCTTGCTCGCTTGCTTCACGTCTGAGAGGGAAATAGTTGAAGCGTATTTTATAAATTTCTCAGGTGACAACTGCGTCAGCACGTTTTCGATTACACTAAATGACAATGAAGTTTCTTTGCTAGATAGTTTTGAGTAGTCACGCTGAACTGATACGAATGTTTGAATCTTTGTCCTCTGTTGTTTGTGTTCATGGGGTGCCCTCATCACATGAGGTTGGCATGATGGGAAAGAGTGTTCACGCAACTGTGCCTGGTGGTTTTCCTCGATAAAATCAGTTGAAAGATAGCGCCAGTCCGCGTTTTATTAATATCTTCTTCGCCCGTGTTTTGTTTTTTTTGTTTTGTTTTTTAGTTCTTTAGATCCACACGAAAGAGAGAGAGAGAGAACAAACATCTTTATTGCATCCAGTCCGATGCTTGCTTTGGTAACCACTCCTCGTCCAGGGTGCTTTTCACGTGCTGGACCAGGAGGGGCCAACGGGTAGGCTCATACTCAGGAGGGGTGTTAATCCAATCCTCCCAGCTCTGGGGGCGATGTGCAGGTGGCAACCTGCTTATGATGGCGTTTCTGGCTGGTATGACGCCTGTGCAAGCCCATAATTGGTGCTCATTGTTCGGGTAGCCTCCACAACTTCTGCATCTGGGCGTACCTGGCGCTCCTGAGATATGGTGCTTGTGGTGTAGCGTAAGGAGCGTGCCGGTTTGTGCTCTACGTATGATGGTGGCATCCTCTCTGTTGAGCATACGCGATGGAGATCTTAGTGATGTGTAAGAAAAACACTCCTCATGCAGTCTCTTCAGAGAGCCTTTTGTATGATGCATTTGTGGCGGGACCGAGGCTTTAAGCTTGCACCGCGACAAACTCTCCTAGCTTGGTGGCACCGCGTGCAAGATTAGTTGAATAAATTGCGATGCATACATGAGCCAAGCTGAATAGTCCGCCACATTTAGGCGAAAGAGCCGATTTATCAAAATTATAGAAATTCCTTTTTGTTTGTAATGGTCGTCATGTTTAAGCTGGGTTGAAGAAACGTGCCAAATTTTTTTTAATTTGCCCATGGGCAGGAGCTATTAGCGGCGAGATGTTTTGGTGGCGCCCTCCTATGGTTCCCCCTTGTGACGTCATTACCTTGCAAACAACAAGTTCAATGGTGTTTGTAAATAGCATGGTGGAAGCCTGAAGTCAGTGAGCTCTTAAAGCAACACTGCCAACACCGTCAAAATTAAAGTTCTTTCATTCCTCTTATATCCATCGATGATAAATCCCCTTTCCTACGTCATAGTCAGCGTTCGGCCAATCGCGGAAGGCCCACCACAGCGACGCTTTCGGTCACGCACGGGGCTAATACTCTGTTCACTCTTAAGCTGAGGCTAGAAGCTCCTCCTTCAGCGCGAGCTTTCTGCCCTTGCTAACAAAAGTGTGAACGCGCAGGCACGCGCAACCAAAGCACAGCGGACGCCAGCCAGCTCGCGCTGAAGGCGGAGGTTCTGGTCTCAGCTTAAAGGGAGTATAGAATTTAAAGGGGGTTTTGCTTCATATTTTTACCCCGACCACAGTCATCTTAATATTATTATTCTTAAGCCCTTTACCGAGTTCCTTGTCGCCCGACCCAGCTACGTCGATTCTATTTCGACATGGCAAGATTGTTTCTTATAAAAATAAAAAGAAGGGACCATCGTTCTGACCCATAAAAATTTCGGTACAAACAAAAAAAAAAAAGCGGCCGAAGTCATTTTAGGCTGCTTACGTGTGGGAATGCGAAAGCAATATAGTCCCGCGGGTGAAATTTTTCGAGTAATGTTTCTACTAGTGATGGACCGAATCTGCCGAACTTCAGATTCGGCAAAGTTCGGCACATGCCGAACTTTTGAAGGAAAGTGCGGCAAAGATTCGGCGAAAATTCGGCAAATGTCTGCGCACGCGCGAGAACATGACGGGGCCATGGATTGCAAATGGACGCCGTGCAATCGTGCGGTTATCACCGCACAGCTTAGTACAACCAGCGGTTGCGGCGAGGTGTGGAGTAGGCAACACGGTAACTGTGCGTTTGTGAGCGACTGCGGTTCTCTTCAATATTTTCTGCCTCAAGAACAGAAGATCGACCACTAATTTACGCAGTCCACTGCGCAAGTGACAAATGATGTGGTACATTATGGATAACGTGATTTTTATTTTACATTTCAAGTGATGCAACGAGGTAGTTGAAACATTGACTGGCAATTACTTTAAAGCACTCCTTTCAATTATAACAATCGTGCATAACAATTACTTTAAAGCACTCCTCGCAATCATAACAATCCTGTTTTCGACTTACAAGTAGTTTGTGCAAAAACAAAATAAGATTGCTTTACAATTAGCGTTATTTCGCGATTTTTATGTATCTGCATAAAACTAAACACAGAACTATCATGCTTGACGTTGCAAATCCGACATTCCTAACTCTTTCCATCTTCCTAAACGTCCGTATGTGTCCTAACACCAGAAACCGGCATTTTAAAGGTTAAAAATTAGACGTTGCGAATATGGGACGCACACTTCCATGCTAAGTTAACGTCAAGAGGCTCAAATCGAAAAACATGCATATTTACAATAATATTGTTGTCTCTTCTGGTGAAGGCTCAGCAACCGTTGCACTCGTTTTCATGCACGAAACGGTGACTATCAGAGAAAGCAAGAACGCAGTGTTATTGCCTTTTTTTTAGCAATGTACAAACACCTGCAGGCTTGCGCTGATGAGGCCTCAAAACCGAAACTCTCATAGCGTGATTCATGACTGCGGCCGTATACTACCCAACCTTGTTGTCACGCCACTTCTGCAAGCAGTCACTAAAATTGCCAGTAAAAGACAAAAACGACACCGATACAATTATCTTGTAGAATATCACCTTATTTAGTAATAACTGTGTCACGTGTTGCATTATAGTTACAAAAAAAAGCATAAAAACTTTTTTCGCCAGAAAAAAGCTAAATATCATTGTTAACTCTTGCAACAATATATTTTTGCCGAATCTTTAGAAAGGTTCGTCAAAAGTTCGGCTTTGCCGAATCCCAAGATTCGGCGTCGAATTTGTGATTCGGCAAAAGTTCGGCCCATCACTAGTTTCTACGCGTATTAAAGTTGTTTCTGTCGGTATTGTATTCGGTGTGCAGCCGTAGGCGCTGATGCCGATGTCGAGGCCATAGACGTAGACGCGGTCGCCTCACAGTCCGTCGCACGAAGCACACTACGTGCACAGATCAAGTCCGGAGCGCAACTGACGCGCCGGAGGCAGCGTGCCACGTCTTCCTTTTGCACACGGCACTCTGGCGCTGACGTCACGCTCCCCCACTGCGCAGGCGCGGGGCCCCCGCCAGCTCCACGGCTTCCGTGACGAAGCATCTGCGTTGCTGTGCTTAGCGTCCGCCTTGGCCTTGAGCGCGCGTGCTAAATGGCGTATTTTTATGGCCATCTTTCGGGCACATCGCCGACGCTGCTTTTTCCCGTGGAACGTATAAAGGCCCGTTCACACTCTTGCAACCGAGTGCGACCGAGAGAGACCAAACCGGTTTTTAAGCCTCTTGCGATCTCTTAGGACCAGCTCCGCTCAGTGCATCCGGTCCCAAGAAGTCTTTCTCGGTCGTACTCGGTTGCAAGAGTGTGAACGCGCCTTAATGTGTTCGCCCTAAAAAGACTGCCTCGCAGTAAGACAAGAAGCTTTGTGACAAATGACAACTGCTGCTTCGCAATTCCAGGTTGGACATGGTAAGAATATCTGGTGGCATTTTATACAAGAATACTATGGGTGAGTTCGTAATATCTCATAACAACTATTTTGTGAACGTCGGTATGTTTAAACCCACGTGACTATAATGGGGTCACTTTGGGAACTCAAGTGGCCTTCACCGGGGGAGCGCGGGCATCTGCGGTGGGGCTCGGAACAGTGCCACTGCCGTCGCCGTGAGATTATCGGTTCTCCCCGCGTTGTCTGCTGTTGTTGTTCATGCAGGCTAGCGGAATTCTGCGTTATCGTGACATCAGTTTTAAAATGATCAGCTGATCTCGAGCAGTACATTCACCTCTTTTACAAATCGCCGATTCAAGACAGCTGCTGTTGGGGTTGTGACAGTGGGAAACAGTTCACAAAGGCATCCAGCAAATACTTTTCGAGGAAGTCAACATAGCCCAAGTGTTCTTGATAGACATGGCTGAGTCGTACTTTGACTCGGATAGCTTGCCTCGAGCACAAAATTTCCTCCTATGCTGACAACCAGAGGGAGATCTTTTTTCGATTCAAAAGTCTTCATAATGATGTTTAATGTGTTAAATAATTGGGGTCGTGTGGGTGTTAGAGAGCTTTAGAATAGGGGGCCCCAACGTTTGGGTTCTCCTAGAAAATTGGGGGACCCAAACGCAACAGGGTTCTTGTCGACGGCTTATAGAATAGGAATTTCGCAACGCAGCGCAGTGCGCTCACGTTCCCCGCTTGCAGCGCCAATGAGGCTAACGAGCGTAATAATAAAAAAAAAAAAAAAAATAATAATAAACGTAAGACATATGCGCTTATCAAGTACTTTTTCTTACCAAATAATAGTTAAGGTAAGTCCCAATCAATCAGGCTAAAACAAGACGCAATCTAAAATCAGTATGAATGTTGTTGGCTGTAGCCTGTATTCAGCCAAAACAATCCAATCCGTAGCGCGTTCTAATTTGGGGCTCGTTCTCAGATTTTTTGGGCGTTCGTGTGCGCTTTGATCGTCTATCGCCGAAGGTTTGGGCTTTCAACTATGCCGAAACTGAGACGAATGCGAGCGAGCATACTCTGCGAGCAGCTGCGCTATTTGGATCTGAGCTGGAGCGAGTTTGAAGCTTTGAAATTTTTGTTCTCAAGCTGCTGGTATCGTGCCACGAACGAAGTCCACTCGCAGCAACGGAGTAGCAATACGTTGCCGTGTCAACGGTTACCGCGTGTCTTTAGGTTTAGGAACGGTCAGAATCAGGGACCATTTTTAAAATGGGGCGAGCCCACCGCTCATTCTTTGTGACTTGAGCGAGATAAAGCAAAGCGAAAGCCGGTTGCACCATCCATTGGCAATGAAATTGGTTAATACTGCAGCGGCCATGACGAATTAGCTCCGAAGCGAGCGGTAAGGGCGTCGCCATGTTGTTTCTCGAATTCTGCGTTGGGGGAGAGCGCCAACCCACAACCCCAAACGGAGTTTGGGTTGTGCGCATGCACAGTTGTGAGCACCTATTTCTCTGGGGCCCCCAAGCTTTGGGCCCCCCTATTCTAAAACTCTATGTTTATACAGCGTGTAGTTGGTCAGCCACTTTAAAGTTGCGACGAGTCACTCGCTGTAGAGGAGCAATTTAGCCAGTGATAGACGACCGCACACCGGTACGAGGCTCATCCAGATCGAAACGGGAAGAGGCGGGGATTGAACTTTTTATCATTGTGTTCTACAGCGCGAGGTTTCGCTCCACGTGCTCCGAGCTGGTGTGCTCTAGCCCACTCGGCCACCGGTCCCCCCAAAGCTTGGTGGCCCCAAAGAAATAAGGGCTCACGACTGCGCATGCGCAGAACCCAAACTCCATATTTGACGACATATTTGAGTGCGCTGCCCAGAGCCCGTGATTGATTGATTTGAAACGTTTATTTAATTTCCATGCCTCTAGTCTATGAACCTCATGTGACATGGGGGAAGGGGAAGTGGGAGAGGGGTAGTGATGATGATAATGGATTAGACGTACCGTCGGATCCCGGAGAACCGGAGGTAGGAGATGATTGATGTGAAGATGAGATCTCGTTCTGCGGGTGCTGAGGTTCTCGGATGTGTCCATTCCCGAAGGGTCATTGGTCTAAGGTGCGGTGGTAAGGTGTTAATTGCCGCTATCCGTTCTAGTTATGTCCCTGCACAGAACCATACAAGATGGTAGCAAGTCGCAGGGACGCCACAGTGTGGACATCCAGGGTCAGGACCTGTGTCATTCTCATTTGTTGGCTTGTAGAACTTGGCACGCCAAAAGGGAGTCACCATATATAGTCCGAGTCTGGAGCCTGTGCTCCAGACTAGGACTATGGCGCTCCCATCGTGGAAGCCCGCGAGCGATCGGGTTGGGGTTAAAAGGTAAAAGCGCTTCAAGGCGCGCTTTCGTGCTCTTTGTTCTTCTTTCTTCTTTTGGGTTAAATCAAAGCCCTCGTCAGGTGGAACGTCCCGTTGGACGGGCGAGGGGACCGGGCCTTGTGAGGGCTGAGTATTTGCCTGTAGCAGTGCCCTCGCGGCCACGTCCGCTCGCTCGTTCCCTGGAACGCCTGCGTGGGCCGGAATCCACACGATGGTGATTGTTTGCCGAGCCCCGGATTGACGAACCAGTTCGCGGATGCGCGCAACTGTAACGCTGCATGTGCTCGACTGCTGTAGTGCACGCACCGCCTCTTGGGAGTCGGTGTAAATTCGAGTTTATTTAGTTTCTGCTCGTGGCATGTTCGTGGCTGTTTCAACGGCGAACAAAACTGCTAGAAGTTCCGCCATGCAACTGCTCCGTGTACGCGGTAAGCATGTGGTTCGTCTCTTTGCGTGTAGGGGAATGCCAGGCGATCGCAGTGCGGCCGTTGTTGTCTCTCGCCGCGTCCGTGTAGAAGACATCCACGTGCGCGGCAAGCTTGCTGACTTCAGCGCGGTGGATGGCTACTTGTGTAGCACGTCGTCCAGGGTGGTCAGGTTCTTGATGAATGGGGAGGGGCTTGAATGGGCCGTCAATTAGGTCGGAACGGCCCATCGAGGCAAGAATAAATCGTCCGTGAGGAGTGCGAGATAGCCGCTGAGCTTGGCTTATCCGCATTTCCTCGGCAATCTCACGGATGGTGTTCATTTGAGCGGTCCCTTCTAGCTGTTCAACCGGTGTGAAGAGGGGTAGCCCTGTAATGACCCGCATGGCCGCCCTCAGCATGGTTACTAGTGTAGTTTCTTGAGTCTTCGTAAGGCGGAGGTAGTTCAGTCCGTACACTACCTTTGAGATTAGGAGGGTACGGACGAGTCGCCGGAGGAGATCATCCTGTGCACCCCAGGCCTTGCTCGAGATAGCCTTGAGCAAGTCTAGACCCTCCTTCCACTGCGAGTTTACTCTCCAAAGCCAGGTGACTGCACCGCCTTTGTGGTCAAATGGGACCCCGAGGATTTTGACGGAGTTGTTCTGGGCGATGGGGATTCCATCCACCCTCAGTTGGATGTCGGTACGGGTGCTCCTGCGTCGGCTGGGTATAACCATGTACGTGGTCTTCTCCTTAGATAACTCCAACCCTGATCGGAGGGCCAAGGTCATGACAACGTCAAGCGCGCTGCATGTAGCGTTGTTGGCTATCCGTCCCACCTGCCGTCGTTCACAGGGTGACGTCATCCGCATAAATGGTGAAGCGAATTTGTGGGACGGCTTCAAGGGCGAGAGCCAGGTCAACCATGGCGATGTTGAATAGTAGCGGCGACACAACCGCTCCCTGTGGAACACCAATATTGTTTGTTCTCCATTGGCCTTTGGTTTGTCCGATAGAAACCTGGAACGTGCGATCCCGTAGGAATGTTTTGATGAAATTCAGGAATCAGCCCTGTATGCCTCTTTTCTTTGCGGCGGCCACGACTGTGCTTTGTGGTATCGAATCGAAGGCCTTCCGTAGGTCAATGGCCACGAGCGTACGCGGTTGGCTTTTAAAAAGCCGGCGCTCGTAGAGATCATGATGTATCATGAGGAGACTGTCTTGTGCCGAAAGGTGAGGTCTGAAGCCCGTTTGCATGGGATGGAAGGCACCCGTCGATTCAAGAATCCATGTCAGGCGTGTTGTGACCATGCGTTCTAAAACTTTGCAAAGGCTGGACGTCAAGAAGATCGGGCGGAGGTTAGCCACCGCGTGTAGTGTCTTGCCGGGCTTTGGGATAGGGATCACTGTAGACCTCTTCCAGTCGGGTGGGAGCTCACCCTTGACCCAAATGGTGTTGAATCTGTCAAGGAGCTCCTTCATGGCATCTTGTGGAAGGTTCTGGAGCGCGGTGATGGTTACACGGTCTGGTCCAGGTGCCGACTTTGCTCGTGCCGCACCAAGAGCGTCCAGGAGTCCTGCGAGCGTGAAAAGGGCGTCCGCCGGCTGTTCGTGCACGATGGTTTCCCGGGCGTAGACTTCGGCCGCGGGTGGCTCGGGTTGTTGGGGGAAGAAACAATCTCCTGCCTCTTCCGCAAGCTGCTCTTCCGTGATGTCAAAACGGAGCGCTGGATTGCTTCCGGTGTTGCACATTTTTGTTTTCCCGGCAAGCCCTTTGTAGGCTCGCCACAGCTTGCGGTAGCCTGTCCGTTCGTTAAAGGAGTCGCACAGGCTACGCCAGATAGTGCGGCGGAGCTGAAATGTGTATTTTTTGGCCTTTGCTGTTGTGCGATTTAGGCGGATTTTATTCAGGAGGGATCTCCTGGCTCTATAGCGCTGGAGAGTCTCCAGTCTCCTGTCCCACAGCTTGATCAGGTGCAAGTCGGGAGGTGGTGTGTCTTCCTTGACGTTGTATTCTGTACGGGACTCCCGAAGGGCTTGTTGAATCCGATCTGCGAATGGGACGTTGGCAAGACTAGGGTGCCGCCATGTGCGCTTCGCATAGAGTGATGCCAACTGCCTGTTTCCATTTCCCACACCCTCGTCCACCGCCATTTTGTTCCTCTCATTGTTTCCCCGTGCTCCGGAAAGTGGCCTTTGTGTCCATCGGCCCTCCCATCCGAGGGGGGAAATGCTAATCCTCCCTCCGTGGGTTCCACAACGCTGCTCCGAAC